TGCTCTCCTAATTACTGTTGTGCAGGTAATGTAGTTCCCACTGCTGAGCACATTTACCTGCTAATGACTAGTGTGTGTGATCAGTCACAATGTTTTAAGATTATAAATCCATTAAAGCAAATTTGTTCTTCTTAATAGTGTTCTTTTTAATCTTCGTTCACTTACAACTACACTGGAATTGGGCAATGCATTACCTCAGTTCCTGGAGCTCTGCTATGTCAAAAAAAATTCCTTTCCCAGCATCTGTTACTGCTGGTCCACTACAGTCCTGAAAAAACAAATTCTCAATTCATCACCTATTGTTATTTTGTCCCTCTTGCAAGGCACACAATTCATTTACTTTATGACAGACTCACTCATAGCAACTTTGTGACTTCAGAGATTTTGCTTAACTTCCATAATGCATTTTGTATTTAATGTAATACAGAAAAAAAACCAGATAACACTTTATCTGTAAACAACTACAAGTTGTAGATGTTTTGCCATGCCACTGATTTCCTGGAAGTCTAAAACAAGGAAGGAAAAAAGAAGTTTTTTCCCAGTAAAGAACTGTGATGTTCTGGACCTTGGACTGTGTTCAACCCAGCTAACACAACTGTGAAAAGATGCCTGCTGACCATCAAAGAAAAGCCCATACCTATTTTTAAAAGCCCTGAGTTCATTGATAAGCCTTCCTGGCCCTGCCCAGCACCCTCAGGGCCTCCCTCAACCCCACCCATGGCTCAGAAGCCCAATTTCAGCCCAGTCCCAGAGTGCCAGTCCCCACTCCAGTGATGCCACAATCTCACTGGTCTCCACTGGAAAATTTTGTTGAGTTGAATAAGGTGTTTTTTCAGATCACCAGTTTAACAGAAAAAAACCCAAACATTTAGGTTTTAAATAATAAAAGAATAAAATGATGCCAAATGGTTGGAAAAATGATGGTGCTTATTTGAACCAAATGTTCATGTGTTTGTTTCTTAATTTGTTTTCTTTGGGAAGAAAAAATCCTCATTTTGAATTCATTAATACTGCTAGGAAGGAACTTAATCTTTCCAAAGGGTTATTAATGTTTCTCTGTGTGCAGAATAAATATAACACCACCCTCAATCACAGCCTCTCATCCTCATTAGTGAGACATGCTGGGGATAACATCTTGGCAAACTCATTAGGAGTTTCTTGTTGCAATCAAATTTTTCCTGACTTCGGTTGCCAGAGACATTATAATAGGGAGAACAAACCTTGTAACAGCTCTTCCCCATTTATTAAATTCTGTACTGAATGCACCATCTTTTTTCACAGAAAACTATCCACGAAGGGTGATGGAGTGTAAAAATACTTGTGCTGAAATGAATTTCATTAGTCACTGCTGGACATAGATTAGCATTATTTGTTTATTTGAAGTTCCCATGGTATAACTCTAAGTGACAAACCAGGGATGCAGGAGGATTTTGTGTGTCCTATGATGTACAGAAAACCACAATTCTGTGCTTGAAGAACTCAAGGGCCTTCTGTCAGCAGCAGAGCTAACCTCTAAGTTTAAGTAACTTCTGTGTTATTGGAGACAAAATATTCCCAAAACCTTTGTCACTTCTATGTCTCCTAAGTCTATTGATGCCAGTGCACAGAGTTCATTTCCACAAGGTGAGTCATTAAAAATTCACTGCTGCCAGGATGGGTGAGATCCTGAGATGGTGCACATCAAAAATCAATAAGACTGAACAGCTTTCTGTCTGTGTGTGTAAAACCCAAAGACACTTGAGAAGGAACAGATCATTTTGTAGATATTCACATTCATCTTGTGTGACACAAAGTGAACATAGGGATAAATAATGGAAAGAGATATAGTTAACATCTACCATTGCAATAACTTCAGAAGCTATCTGAAACAAATAAATCTTTCTCTTGAATAATATGAATTTTAATCTGATAGGTTTCAGCACTAATGCTTTGCATGACTTGAACTGAAATCATTAGTCAAATGCAACTACAATATAAATTCATAAAGAGCTCCCAGAAGAAATCAAAGATGTTTTGTATAATCTAAACCAGGTAATACAAACATTCTTATGAATTTCAAAAGAGTCAAACCTAAGGAAAAATTCATTGACTTTGAATTAGTATTCAACAGCCAAATAAATTATTTCCTATTTGCATATTTTAAATCTTTCATTTAATAATCAGCATATGCTGGAAAGCAACACAACAAAACAGTAATACAAACCATTTTTAACATGAAAATTTAATATAAAAGCAAGAAATGGAATTTATTTTTACAATCGTGACTTGCTTAATGGACATATAAAATACAGCATTTCAGACAACAATGCAAATCTGTTTTTTTCCTAGCCAAATATGAATTTGTGCCCCTGCATTGCATTATTGCTGACAAATTGTCCATAATGTGATATAAAGGCAACTATGGAAGCATTCAGACATTTTCTTACTTGGCCTGCTTTCAGACTTTCAAAACAAATTCTAAATATGAAAGCTGCTATATATTTTATTGCTCACTCACTACTTCAAGTCAGATTTCAGGAACATATTATGAGTGTTCTGTTAGCAAAAATTAGGATAAAAATGTGATCTTTTTGATGCAGTGAATTTGGTAAAATCTCCTTTGTTATTAACTATTAAATAATTGAATGTATAAAGGCACAAGTTTTGTGACAATTTTCTTTGGAGAAAAAATAAATGTTGGCACTTATCAAATATGTTTGATAAAATACTGTTACTAACTATGAAAAGCATGATAACACTTCTCTTTTTGTTAAAAAGTTTGATATTTTACTAGCCCTGAGTTGGCAAGGGCCACCTCAGCTGAAATGTAACAGTTGACAACACACACACACACTGCTAGAGGGCTGGAAAGCAAAATAAAATGTGTTTGCACAAAATTGCCACTAAATGTTTATAAAAACTTGTTTCCCTTGGCACCACAACAGATAAGAAAAGTGCTACAGTAAACCATCAAAGTTGCACTGGGGGAATGATATGTAACAGCAAAGGGATGGGAAAACGCAGCTGCTCCTTCTGAATGCCGCCAGTGGAATTGCTCCAGGTCCACAAAGTCCATTTCTTGGCAGGAAGCTGTACAGGAAATCTCAGAGCCCCCAAAGAGAAAACAGAAGCAGGAGGTGTTCATAAAGTTTATTGGGTATCTAATTCATTGGGACTGCACACAACAACAGTTAAAGACAAAACACTACATGGCTTTATAACAGATCTATTTTTTTCCCCATCCTGCTCTGAACACCCCATTACGCCATGCAGTGGCATTAGAGACCGTGCTGGGGTTGTCTTCAATCACTCTGGGAGCCCTTTCTTCTAACAGGTAAGCAGTCTTATCAGGGATGCTTCACAGAATCATAAAATGTCCTGAGTTGGAAGGAACCCACAAGTACAATCAAGTCCAACTCCTGCCCCTGCACAGAACAGCCCCAAGAGTCACCCATGTGCCTGAGAGCATTGTCCAAACACTCCTTGAGCTCTGGTGCTGGTGTTGGTGCTGTGACCCCTGCCCTGGGGAGCCTGTTCAGTGCCCAGTCACCCTCTGGGTGAGGGACCTTTTCCTAATACCCAACCTAAACCTCCCCTGACACAATTCCAGGCCATTCCCTTGGGTCCTGTCACTGTCACCACAGAGCAGAGATCAGTGCCTGCCCCTCCTGTTCCCCTCACAAGGAAGTTGTGACTGCAGTGAGGTTTCTCCTCAGTCTCCTCCAGGCTGAACAGACCAAATCCCTCAGCCTCTCCTCACATGAATTCTCCTCAAGGCCCTTCCCCATCCTCACTGCCATCCTCTGGGTACTTTCTAATATATTTTTATCTTTCATATATTATGGTGCCACAATAGCCATTACAAAAAGATGTCCAAACAATCTGTAATTCAGGGCTTCTGAATGCTTATCCATCCCTGGAAATTACTGTGAGTTCACATATACAATATATGTATGTAAACTGCCCAATATCCTACTTTTCATTTGTTCCTGTACAACCTCATCTTCTATTTTTTTCTGTTTAACAAGTCTATTGTTCATTTGAATCCTATCCTCAAGCATACTTGCAATTTCTCTACAAGGTAGTAAGTAAGGTAGTAAGTATTTTTTTTTCAGTTTTATTGCTCCCTAAATGAACCAGGATAACAGACAAATACACCAGAAACTCTTTTGACAGTGAAATTTTGGTCACTGTTCTCCATGCCTGTTTTGCCCTTCCCTTTCACTAAATACTAGAGAAACCATTCCCAAGTCTTCCTCTAATCATTACCATGGTTACCTTTTTTGTTGTTTGCCCTTTCTCTGTATATTGCTGCTCTATAACCTTTTGGTTAGATTCCTCACATACACCATTTTTTCATACTCATCTTCACTCATCTGAAATAGTTTCCTATTTCTGTACTATTTTTCCTTCTCTTTAAGAGCTCACGATTTGGTTAAGGTGATTTCTTACCAGTTTTCTAAATCACCAGTGGAGATGCAAACTGGAATGCTTATCAGAGCAGCCTGTAGCACTGACCATTGGATCCAGCTCCAGTGTGGTCATGAAAAAAGAATTACCTTTCTCAGGGTTGCTGGATATTGCAGAGTTAAAACAAAGTGAGAAGGGTGCATCTTTAGCTTGTAGGTTAAACTACCTTTCCTCCTGCTCCTTACCACCCATCAGCTATTTGCTAATATGCTGTTAGCCATGTAGAAACAAGCTATATTGAAACTGCAATAATCTCCCAGGGTCAGCCTATATATCCCCCTGGCTATCCAGAAACAATAGTTAAGACATTTCAAAACAGAGAATGAACACATGAAAGTCACTTTCTCTTTGCAGTGCTAAGTAGGATAAGCCAAAGGTGAATGTTTACATCACTGATGCTGATACAGAAGCTCAGTCCATGCAGTCCTGAGCGCAGTCTACGGGAAAACTCTCACTCCCTAACATTTTTCTAACATATGTCATCCAACTTGGTTCAAAACACAGGACCTGGCCCAGCCCACTGCTATTGTCCTAAGCCTTACAAAACTCACGTTTAAATGTAGGTAGTCTGCAGAAAGAGGTACAAACCAGCTGATGCAGGAAGGTGTTACTGGAGATCTTGTCTAAAACTCTGCTCAGAGCAGGTTGCTCAAGGTCATGTCCAGACAGATTTTTTCATATGTCAAGAATTGAGCCTCCAGTGTTTCTCTGGATAGCCCGTTCCAATGTTTGACCCTCATTACAAAAGAAGAAATTAAATTAGATTTCCTGCATTTCAGTTTGTGCCTTTGCCTTTTGTCCTGTCCCCAGGCACATTTGACAGGAGTCTGGCTTTGTCTTCTATGGGAAAAACACCCCATCCGATATTTATACCCATGGATAAGATCCCCCTGAGCATTCTCTTCTCCAGGCTGAATGGTCTCAGCTCTCCCGGCCTCTCCAGGCCCTCAGTTGTGTCCATGGCCCTTCTCCAGGTGTGTCTCACCAGGGCTCAGCAGAGAGGAAGGATCACCCACCACCAGCTGCTATGGACACTCTGCCTGATGCAGACCAGGATGTTTTGCCACAAGGGCACATGGCATGGTCAACTTGGTATTCACCAGGACTCCCAGATGCTTTGCTGCCAAAATGTTTTCCAGGAGGTCAGTTATACAGGATAATTTCTCCCCAGGGGCAGAAATTGTCACTTCCCGTTGTTCAGCCTCATGAGACTTCTGCTGACCCATCCCTTCAGCCTGCCAAGGTCACTCTGAATGGCAGGATACCCATCTGGTCTGTCAGTCACTCACCCCAAGAGACCTGTTCTGCCCAGAAAAGAAGTGAGGTCTTCTAATGCCATCTCTCAATTAACAGAATTATAGCACAACAAAGGGTTTTGTCATCATTGTGTTGTGAGGAAATTCAAGATATATACTTGAGGACTGTATAGAATAAATGTCCGTCTCTTTAGACTTTTATTTACAATCAGAAAGCACAAAGGTCTGCATCTTCTAAGATCATGTCAGTGGAATTCTGACAGCATGAAGTAACAAACCAAATAAGTCAATTACCAGTCATCTATATGTTTGTTGCCTTTTATACTTGAGATACTTGCTCTTTTTGTATATGTGCCTTGTCACTAGATCAGCTTTATATTGTCAATAGTGGAAAAGACTTTAAGGAAAAAATACATGGCAAGCGTTCTATTTTGTCAAGATGTTCTGGAAAGACACTGCAAACCACAGAAAGGAAATCTGAGTTGCTTGTGATGTTACAGTGATATTGAGATTGCTAGAACAGCCCTATTAAATGTAGTTGCTTATTTATTTTTTATATCAAATGGGCTTTCAAAAGCTTTGCACAGTGTCGTAAAATAAAAAGTCACTTATCTATTTCCTACTCTTCTTCTCTTAAAAGTATGGAAGTACATTCCAAAGTGACAGGGCAGAGTTTAGCAGTGTGAATCCAAATCACTTATTTCCACGAATATCATGGGAACTGGAATTTCCCTTACAGTTCTCAGACTCTCTTTTAAGGATGGTATTATTTCATCAGCTATTTGTTTTTCTTCTAGATGTTAAGAATATTCTGAATATTTTCATATTTTTATTCAGTGAGAAACAAAGCTGCATGCAAGCCCTGATTAGGAAGTTGCTTATTTTGTTGCCCCAGCCAGGATCTGGGCACATAACCTTCAGTTCCAAGGTCTACAAGTGTCTAAATAACTTGCAGTTTCATATCATACTGTGGTAGGGGTTTGTGGTTGCTAATCTGTAGGGAAGAACTGTACAGCTAAAAGGCATGATGTGTTCTTAAATATTTCTATTTATTTGTTTTTCTTTCTCCTGTTATTTTTTTTCAACGTAGAAGAAATTGTGAGGTACAGGATTAATCAGGATCAGAAAAATAATCGTGGCACTTTCCCAGGTGCCGTATGGAGGCCACCAATCAAACTAAAATATACATTATAAAGACAATGGTATAGGACTTATATGCAGCCTGCTCTCCATACCAAAGTTACAGAACAGAAATAGATTTGCAATTACTTTGTAATATTTGGCTCAGATCAATTGCACACTTGTGTGATCTAGAGTGATTCAGGTGAACACCTTCACAGATTCAAAATGGTGCCTTCTGAGCAATTCACAGAACAGCTGGAACGCACATCAAATCCTGTCAATGTTTGGGGAGGGAGTGGAGCAAATCATAAATTAATCTTTGAAGGAACAAAGCCATTTAGATGTGAGCAGTCATTCAGAAAACTAAACGTTCATATGTTGCTTTTCTGGAATAATGAAGGATTATTAAAAAATCCAAAATATTTGAATCAAGTTAATGTATTACACTGTGATGTTTAAATGCACTTGAAAACACCCCAAGAGTGTAGAATTTGTGTGTGTAAAGTTCCCAGAGTGCAGCAGGAGCTGCTTGGTGCAGCAGCAGCATTGGGGTCATGATGAGACATTGAGAACATCACTCACCAGGGACCAACTCCCTCCTGACTCTTTAATGGGCTCTAAAAAGCAACTGATTTAGCCCTATGTGGCTGAGAGGATACTGCTCCAGTTCAGATCCCAGGGCAGAGGGACTGGAGGGAGGAAATGAATATGCTGGAAACTATCATGCAGTTCCCCACAGCAGGCATTGTTTCTTTGCATCCTGCATTCTTGCACTGAAACATCAGAAGTTTCAAAACTGGATGGCAAACTAAAATGAAAGAATAAAAGGAGGAAGGAAAATCTGTGTTGTTTTCTTGTCATCGGACTAACCCATTCAGTGCTGAAGTTTTCATTTGTCAGAAGAGGTCACAGAGCAGGAAATATCAAGTAGTGAGGACATTGGATCTGCGTGTGACACAGGACTTTAGGAGCCTCTTGGCTTTACATTTGTTTTGCTTTGCTTGATGAAAAGGAAACAATAAACCAGTTCAATTCATGTGAAAAGTGTGACATCCCAAGAAATGGTCTAGTGCAGGGTACACATTAGCTGTGCAAACACAATGCACAGCATAAACAGGAAAACTCATGTCAGTTTAAAAAGCAGCACTCATAATAATCCTTGGCAGTAAATCACTCTTTATATTAATTTCACCCTTTGCCCATTTCAAGCAAGTTCTGTAAGTATCTTTATTCATAGCATATTACACACAAAAAAAGAAGACTTTGTAAGGCACACTTCCTTTATACATGTACTCTGTGCCTAAATTTAGGATATATACAACAATACATTTTTCTAGAAAATAGTAGAGTATCCCAGCTATTGTGCTGGGACACAATTGTGATTCCTTCCATTTTTTAACTCTTGTCAGTTCTTTTACTGAAATAGCTTTTGAACTTTCATCAGTCTTTGGCCAAAATTCTTGTTTCTCCCACTCCTTGTCCTGGGTTGCATTATAAAGCTAATTTTTTCACCCCAGAAAAGTCTGGCTGAATTCTCACTTTTCTATCTATTTCTTCATGTTTTAGGAGTGGACCCCCTGAAGGTACCCTAGAGTTAGGAGCAAATGTGTAATTGTCTATGACAATCTTTGCAAAATCAAATTACTGTTTACTCTTAGAGATAAAAGCAGATCTGACCTAAAAACTATATTTAAATATTAATTGTATTAAAATTATTTCTGTACCATGACAGAATTTGGGGAAGAAATGAGGTTTAAGACTGTGAAAACTGAGAGTCATTCAAATTCTCTAAATTGAAAAGAGATGGATTTGAAGAGAAAACTATTAGATGGATAAGAAAGTGGTTGGATGGTTGCACTCAGAGAATAGTGATCAGTGGCTCAGAGTCCCAATGACATCAGTGACAAGTGGTGTTCCTCAGGGGTCTGTTTTGGGACCAGTGTTATTTGATATCTTCATTAATAACAGACAAAGGCATCGAGTGTCCCCTCAGCAGCAGGATATTAGGGCTTCTGGTGGGTTTGCTGCTGCTGTTCTCGTGAATATTTAAGTATTTATATGAAGAGATCTCCAAGAAGTGGGACCCAAAGTAGAAGAGTTGGGATTTGAATTCATCTTCAAAAACCCAAGGGAAGTACTTACACAGCAAAATTATTATCCACAGTAATGGGCTTCTTTCTGTTCAGAAATTCCACTTTGGACAAATAGTTTAAATTTTATTAAACTATATCCTTAAAAACTGACAACAGTAAGGTTCCCCAATGAGTTCTACTCAAGTATTGGTCTGTTTTCATACCTCCACTCCTTTCAGCAGGCTCAGCACCAGTTTTCTCTCTTCTAATATGGCCATGACATTTCTTGTCCTCTGTTCCCAGTGTTTTCAAACGTTTTCATTGCCCTTTTGAGCTTTTTGGCCCTAAGCCTTCACAAACAAACTGTGCAATGCACCTGGAATCAAGGAAGAAAGTGCTGCATAATTATTAAGTTAAATATTCTCTCTTGACCCTTATAAAGAAATTTTTCATCTATTGCCTTTCCTGGTTGTTTCCCAACCACCTGCTATAAAGTTAAACAGATATGGTTGAATACTGCATATTCAAACAACATGTGGCACGGATTCGTAAATCATTAGAGGAAATCTCCCTGCTTTCCAAAGAACAGCAGATGTAAAGTCAATTTCCTTGGAAATTCAGCCTCTGATGGTATGTGCCTCTCTCTATTGTCACTGTTGACCATTTGTTGTCAGGACCTCAACAAACTTTCAAGGCATTGATGTTTCCAGGTAACTCTGTCAAAGAACTGTCAGACACATTAATGTAATTTCTTTTGTTTGAAACCTGATGGTCTCAGCATCAGTTCTCAATTGACATATATGGAAGCATTAACTTCTATTATAGGTCAAGATTCATTAAAGAAACTGAGACATGGCCTGAACTATTACAAATTATTCCTCATCTTTCCGTTCCCTCAACTTCTCTGTGACTGTAGGGCTACCTCATTCCTGTTCTGCTCATTGTCAGTTGTCTCAATATAAAGTTTAGAAGACCTGGTATACAGCATAGTAACCCACTGAAAATTTGAGCCACAAAAATTCATATTCATATTCATTGAATCTGAAGACAGCAGCAATGTAAACTTTAAAAAAAAAAATCCCATTGCATATTTATAGAGAACTTCAATTCCATTTTCACAGAATAAATGGTATTTTATGCTCCACACCATTTAGACCTCAATCTCTCTTCTGGCAAGCCAAGCTGTTATTTTTTGTGGATTGTTCCTAAGTCATTTATAATCAGGCCACAGCACCACTGACAACAGAACCTTTGAAGTAAGGTAGGAATTATTAATTTGC